AGCCTATGAAATTACTAGACTAACCTTCCCTTTTTTAATAAATGATTCAACCGGCCGGAGTTTTGGTCGGAAGGACGACGGATGGTAAAGGAAGAAAACGTCGGGACTAAATGTGGACAAGTTGAAAGTCAGGTACGTAATGTGGAAGTGGTATAATACTCAAGGGACCAAAAGTGGAAAATTTTTGGTATTATTCAGACACACTCTTCGTGAAGGCAATTATACAGCCCATTTACTTGCTCAGGATAATTCTTTATCCATTACTAATAGCTTAATTTCCTATTTCAGTATTAATAAGGTTCCTCACTTAATTAGGAAAGCATTAATCACTGATTCCATGGGGCTACCTTATTTCCATAGAATTTTTGCATAATTTTATTTTTGTTTTTTCCTGTTCGGGTCAGGTCTAGCCCCCTCGAATTTTTCTTCTGTTTCATGTATTTCGTGAAGGTATGCCTTCACTGAAGAGGTCTTGGTCTGGTTCCCCTCTTCTTTTGTATTTCTTTCATCTTTTAATAAAATCTGGTAAATGTTCCCCGGCATTAACCCCACTGATTTTGGTGATTTGCCTTCCGGGTTTGAAATATATACGGGGAAGATTTTATATTACTATAGATGTAAAAAATTTTAATTAGTAACTTTGAAAAAAATAATATTACATAAAAATAATACATTTTTACTATATTTTTAAATAAATTTAAAAATATGGAATGAAAAAATAAAAATGGATAATGTAAACATTATGCTTCATAAAAACTATCAGACCAAAAACGTAAAATTTGTGTTATATTACAAACTATTAGATATAATACATAAAATATTTTAAATATAGTTGGTAAAAATACATTGTTTATTTGTTTATTTATTAAGTGAAATATATGCAATAGTTATAAAATATGGAAATAAAGTTTAAAGATTTTTTAGTATATATATTATTTTTTATTTACCGCAAACTATAAATATTATATATATAATTTTAAACATGTATTCTATTTATAATTTTTTTTTTCAAAATGTTGACATTTTTTAGGGTTGAGAGGGCAAATTGAAAGATTTAATCAGGTTCAGGGGCTTATTTGATCCCTTGAGTTGCCACGTAAGATGCACAGTTGGCACCCTACCAGGTGACATGGTGGTGACCGGATTGTAACCTGCAAAAAGTGAAATTTGAATGTTTTTATCAAGTCCAGAATGCTAATTGGAGATTTTTTGAGTTTAAGAGGTAAATTGAGTATTCCGGACGGGTGCAAGGATATATTTGTGGGCAGCCATGCAAAACTAATAATATACAATGGGATCCACCAAATTGTAATCCTGTCCACTTTTTTACTTGTATCATACTTTCTCCTTTCGCTCTAAATCCATGTGCATTTAAAGTTTAAACTTTAAACCCTTCCAAAATCATATTCAATCTACCACAAAAACACAAATTCAGTCCAAATAAGAGGTTAGAAACTACGTGTCCACATGCACAATTTGAATTAGTTATTTTAGTTAGTTGAACACTTAAATATAGTTAATTCAGTTAGTTTTTACCATTACTTTTAAATCATTCACAAATAGAACTAAACATTAATTTTCTACCCTTAATACCCCTAAGGGTATTAATATATAATAAAATATTTTCATTCATAATAAAATCATAAAAAATAATATAAATCATACGAAAATAATAAAAAATCACTAATATTTATAGATTAAAATTTAATTTTTTTTGTTAAATTTAAAAAATAATACAAAGTAATAAATAGTGAAAACACATAAAAATGGATGCCTTTCTGTTGATCCCTGTTTTGAACGATTATCTAACAACTATGGATGCACAAACATGAAATACAAATTGAGAAGAATATCATTATAATGATCTAGCAGATTTCAAATAGATGAAAATTCTCTCTTTCTATATATCGAAAAATTCAGAGTAAGCTACTGTAAATGTGCGTGAAAACTTAGTGGAAAGTTAGGCGTTGTACATCCTAAGCGCATATTTATATGCGTAGGGGATTGGGCCTTAACATAAATGGTCTTATACTATAATAAGCTATTCTAATAAATACATGGAAATACCATAAATAGATTGCTAAACAAAACTATTTTTAACAAACTTGAACACAATAAAAATATCTTCAACAATTCTTTCTCAGATTCAGAGCATGTTCGTATTGTTGTAGCGATCTACGTTTGTCGAGCTGTTGTTTAGCACTTTAGAGAGTCTGTCGAATTTGTCAAGTTCGGATTTTGATGCAACGACAAGTCTTCCTTCAATTTCATCTTTCTTCGGCTTCAGCTCTTCCCGGATGATCTTCAACGTTCCATCACAATATTTGGCAATTTGTTCAATCTTCATCAGGCGCTTTTGTTCTTCGTGATTCAGATAGACTATTTCGCCCGGCTTGTCAAAGATTTGATACGGTGGAAACTGTTCAAGCTCCGATTAGTATAGAATTGGCCTGTTGAGATTTGCCTTTGGGATATTGTTTTCCAGGGCCATTTGGAGATCATGGGATGCATGTACTCTGACTTGCCTAATCATGAATCTTTTGATCTCTCTGTTGCTACTGAAAGGGAGATCCCTGCATGCCCTGAACATCTGATAGATATCGTCCATTTTGAGTAGGAAAAAGTCATTCTCTTGGCAGGTGAACTCTGTTTCGTCAGTGCGCTGTAGTTGGTAGATAGAGAGTTTTATTCTTGCGTGATTACCTTCAGCCACGTCTAGAATTTTCCAGATGGGATACTTGCATGTCTGTAGATCGTGCTTCAGGATCTCACGTTGTTTGCCCATTGATCTGTGACTCAGCATGTGCAGATGTCCTCCGATGTCTCTTCCTTTCAGGTGAGTGAGACCACGAGCTTTCAATTCATCAAGTTGCTTGAGCTTCTCCGGTCTTCGCCATATATGCTTTCGGATTTCCTCTTGGAAGGGGGCAATTATTTGAATGTTTTCCCATGGCTTTTCATTTCTGGGCAACAGAGCTCCTATTTTTCTAATAATTGATGGTAGCTCTGCTAGAGTTTCAATATAATACTCCCCTTATTAGAGTTCATCGAACCGAGCCGAGCCGAATACTACTATGTTCGAGCTCGGCTCGATTGATTTTTCGAACTTAAGACTCAGCTCGGGTTCAAGTTCGAAAGCTCGTTAAGCTCGACTCGTTAGGTTCGAAACCGATCTCGAACTCGAATACTTCGATAAAAGTTCGGTTCGTTAACAGCCCTAGCAAGCAGCAATAGATAGGATGCTTCGCCCCCTACCCCGCAACAAGACAAACCCCGACATGGACACGTCAAGTGGGGATGCCGCCGCAGGGGAAAGAGGTCCTAGAGGGGGTCACAACTCCTTTAACAACCACGTATCCCTCTAACGCACTCAGTTAACCTGATTATGGACTATGCAAAAGAGAATGATTTGGCTGAACGGTATCTAAGGTCCTCTTAATAGATATACATTATCCACCAGGATGCCCTCACTGTGGATTCCACTGGCACACACAACCCACAAAACCGACTACTGTCGGGTATCTGATCATGCTACCGTGAAAATGACTCATTTCTATAAAATTCAAAAAACTAAAAAATTCTCTTACATTTCACGTGTTCTTGTATCTAGTTAAATTTTGTAGAAAATTGTTGTGTTTGTATGCTCTTAAGAAGTCAATGATCTAAGAACCTTTAACATCTTGTAATTGAAATAGACATAACGTGCAAGCAGCACACATCCTCGAAAACACCCGAAGGGCAAAGATTAATGAGTGTACGACCGAGTATTGTTCTTATTCTTAATTCCATCTTGAATATATAACTAAAAGAATAGTCCTGAAATCATTATCATTCATACACCTTGAATTAATATCTTCGACTTCGTAATTACAAAAACGTTTTCCTATGAAACGACCGAGTATTTTGCTGATATTTATTATCATAATCGACACTTGTATATTTGCAAGGCATGGAGTCTAATTCCATCCAAGCTATCTCAGAGATCAACAAGTAAGATGGTAGCTCGTCATTTGGTTTGATAGTTCAATATATTAGATACATTGGCTTAGTAGACTGCCTTTTTGTATTACGCAATAGGGGTGAGCACGAGTCAGGACGGTTCGGGATTAGGCTTATCACAGTCCCAACCCAATTAGTAATAACGGTATGGAAGGTACAAGACACAACTTTGTCATAGTCTTGTCCCATTTAAATCGGGACCGGGATTATTCAAAACGGTTCGGGACGTCCCAAACTAACAAAAGAGTATTATAAAAAATAACATTTGTAATTAAAATATATTAGCATTTCTAAAGTATCATACGGGCCGAAATATTAACATTTTAAAAATCAATTGGTGTTCATCACAAGCTATCTTTTACAAAAACCTAAAAGCTACTGCATATTAGATTTTAATTAGGTTTAACAGAAACTGAAATTATAATTTACTTAAAACAAAGAAAAAATGAATTAATTTATTCAAAACTACGTGCTCTATTTGTGAGATGCTCATATACAAATAGGGAGTATATAAGAGTGAGATAAACACCTATGTTAGTAAATATTTATGTTAGGTATTATTTTTAATTTTAAATTTGGGATTGAAAAACTAAAAACATTACATCATCTATTTTTTGAGTTGACACTACAAATTAGTAACATGCTAAAAAACTATATAGTCATTACAAACAAGACAACATGACGGTCCAAGATAACCGTCCAATGTCCTGATCATGCCTCATTTTAAACCGGTACATGACAAGTGCGAGACAATATGTATGAGTCCCAAACGGAACGGGACAACACTGGTACGATTCCGGGATATATGAGAATGGGACTACTAGACCGGGATTCTTACCCACCCCTCTTACGCAATAACTAGACTTTGATACTCATACAATGGACGATAATTAAGTTTATTCTTTTAAAAAATGAATATAGAAATAGTATTACTATCGGGAAAGCGAAACACAAATTTAAAAATGGAAACAAAAACCGAAAAATAGGAAACGACCTTTAATTTTCATTCTCCGTCTTTTAAAAGACCTTCCAATTCCCTCTCTTCTCTCTGATGTTTCAACTGTCTGTCCGTGTTCAACTCCCACAAAAACACAAAGGAAAAGAATAGACCCGTAGAACGCCAATATAGAGAGAGAAAGGGCAGAAAGAAAGAATTGACCAGTAAATTTTCAATCTTTATACACCCATTGGGTTTGATTTTCCACAACGATTTCAAATTTCTCGACTGCGTATTTGGCTATATTTATTTTCTTATTCCTCCCGGAATTAAGATCTTGCTCGACTTGAGTTTAAATATATTTTTAATTCCCAGAAGAGGGCGATCGATTTAAATTTTTTGTTTTTTGTACGGTCGGATTCAAGTTCAGGCTGTTGGAATTGATTTCACTTGTGCTGTGAGGATGAAAAGGGGTTTAAGATTAGTGATGCCGACCCTTAGAGTAGGTTTGTGATGTAATATGCAAGTTGTGGTAAAATTTGCGAAGATATACTCAGATATGTCGTTCTACATCGGTCGCGAGGCTTCAAAGGTTAGTCTCTTCTTTCCAATATAATCACTTCAGAATCAAGGAGGTTCTGATTTTTCGATTTCATGATTTTATTTTCTCTGTAAGATGTTTTACATCCAAAAACTATAAAACAAAAGAAAAAAATCCTTGATTTGGTTTTGTTTTGGTTGTTGGGGGGGAGAGAAGCTATGGAAGAGAGTTTGTGCAGAAACTACAACAGAGATCAACCTTCTTATTGAGAGCTGGAAGTATATTCTTGGTGGTCTGATTTGTCAGGTCTGTACATTCTTCCTAACTCTGAACTATACTTTTCAAATTTGTTGTATTTCACAAGTTAATGAATGCTTCAATTGCTCTGTGTCATGAAGTATGTTAAGTATGTTCAGTCATCATAAAGATACAAAGTGACCTATTATGTCATTAAGCTACTCCTTATCTGGCTAGGATAGAGCTCCAAGTTTAATAAGTACATGTTGATGAATAGTTGTTGGCTGGCTTTATTTAAAAAATCATCTCTAAAATTCCCTCAATTTTGATTGAATCACCATTCAGTATTGTAAAATTTAAAATTTTCACAAATGATTAAGTGAGAGTATCAAACTCTCTATCTGTGTATGCCTTCTGGTTTTGGCCTAAAAAAACTGGAAATTTGCTTAACAACTAAAGCATGATTTTTGCATGATCTATACCTGTCTAATCACATAGTTTTCATATTTTTGGTTCATTATTTCCGAAGTACTCTCTCCGTCCCAAAATAATAATTACATTTTAATAAAGTAAACCTTTTTTTAGTCAACTCAATAGGTGCAAGCTTTAACAAGTTATGATGACTACTTAAATACCCATAAAGGCTAAAACCTATTTCCAAGACTGTTTCAAGTAATTGAGTGTTTGCTTGCTGCATGGATTTACAACACTTTACAGCAAATTTAAGTGACTTTTAAATCCCGACAGTTGTTAGAGTAAAATAGCTTTTAAGTTTTTTTGGAACAGAGAGTAATTGTTACTGAGGTTAACATGTTGGTTATTGATTTTTTGTAGTATTTATGAAGCAACTTTTTTGTTAAAATTAAAGCCCGTTCTTACACTTGACATAGATTCCTGTGTTGTAAAATTAGGTTTTATTTTATTTTTTCTCCAGTACATCCATGGAATTGCTGCTCGAGGAGTTCATTACTTGCATCGGCCAGGACCAACGCTTCAAGATGCTGGATTTTCCCTTCTCCCCGTTAGTTTTTCTAATTTTCTAGTTCGTCATTTACATCCTATTTAAGTGGATTTGTTTGTTCATATATTTTTTCAACATGCAAAAAAATTCCAGGAACTTGGTCAGGACAGAGCTTACATAAGCGAGACAGTTTTCACCTTCATCTTTGTGTCTTTTTTCTTGGTGAGTTTTTTTAATATTTTATACTAGTTTTTGCAGTGCCCTTCTGCTTTTGATGTGTCCTTTTGTACGTCTTTCATGTGTTTGTTTCAAATGTTATCCTAAAATCTTCCTCTCTGGTTTAGCATTCTCATTTGTCTAATTTGGTTCCTGTCAATGGTGCAGTGGACATTCCATCCTTTCATTTTCAAGAACAAAAAGATTTACACTGTTCTGATATGGTGCAGGGTTCTTGCTTTCTTAGTTGTAAGTCCCATTATTTGATGTATTGTTATACTCATATATAATTTGTCTAGTCAAAAAGAAGGATCAAAATTGATATGTATATATATATATATATATATATATATTTTCCTTTGACACAGGCTTGTCAATTCCTTAGGATCATTACTTTTTATTCTACACAGCTTCCTGGACCAAATTATCATTGTCGTGAGGTAATATACTAATTTTTCATTGGTATCCTATTCTTTTAGTCGTTAAGAGTAGTATTTATCAATAAGCACACATTTTACAAGGAGACTATATATGTAGGGATCAAAGCTTGCCAGGCTGCCTCGTCCTGATAATATATTTGAAGTTCTATTAATAGGTAAGCTTGCCAGGCTGCCTCGTAATATTACTTTTTTTATTTGTTTTAAATGATAAAATACATGTATTTCTTTAATACTAATGTATTTGCAGTTCCTCGGGGAGTGCTTTATGGCTGTGGAGATCTAATATTTTCATCTCATATGATATTCTCCCTCGTCTTTGTGCGGACTTATACTAAATATGGCTCACAAAGGTGAACTTTGCAAATGGCCATCTATCATGTGTTTTACTCGTATTCTCTATTTTAGTATCTTCACCAATAGGTTTAGAAGTTGATTGAGCTTCTAATATTAGCCCAAACCATACTAATTTCAGATCAATCTATTAGTTAGAGTCACTCAACTGGACCCTATCATTTATTCACAAATTGTTCTCTCTTGAACTTTCTGCCATGTGACACACCCAAACAATCTCCATAGCTGAAGTGTTTTGCTCATAAAAATAAGAACTGATTGTTTTTTCAACAAATATGCAGGTTTATAAAGCAATGTGCATGGTTAGCTGTCATCATTCAAAGTTTCTTGATTGTTGCATCTCGCAAACATTATACCGTTGATGTTGTTGTGGCATGGTACACTGTCAATTTGGTAGTGTTCTTTATTGAGAAAACCCTTCCTGGTAGGCATTTTGGGTTTATTAAAGGTGTCTCATTTAATATCCCCATTAAATTAATTAATTATCAGTACTGAAGAGCACAAGTTCATCTTCCAGAATTGCCTGATCGATCTGGAGCGTCGTTCTTGATTCCTTTGTTCAAGGATAATATTACTAAAGATGAGAACGAGAAACTTTTGAATGGAAGTTCTGGCGATACCACAACAGAGAAGGTATGGATTCCCATTCTATCCCACACCCCTTTCATAATAATCGTTTAATGATCAGTGGTGTAGCATTATATCTATGTTCTCTATTATAATAATGTTCTCTATGCCACGAGTCATTATATCTATGAGTGTTAAGCCATTCTACATCGATCAAATATAAAAAAAGCTCAGACCAATCAAGTATAGTCTTTCATTACTACTTATACGAGGAGGTTGATCTTTTAGAATATAATCGAATCTCAGCAGAGTTTTTTTATTCTTCTTCAGAGGCTAAGAACCCAAATCAATGGGAAGATTGTCGAGAACGGGCACACAGTGCATGTGGAAGCAGTGATGAATGGATGATATGTAAGCTCATGACAACGAAGCAGATATGGTTCTTTTATGCCAACTTTTAGATTCTCCCTGCTTGTGAACAGATTCTATCTGTTTGATGAACGACTGGGCCATTGTTCCAGCTCTCTGATTAATTTTTGGTAGTAGTTTAGGATCTTTTTGCTGTCCCATGGTTGATTAATTTAAATGTAAACGCACACAATTATCTGAAAAAAATGAAACGATTTCTTTCATTTGTTAATGGAACTATTATTCAGTTCGTTTTGTACTTGTGTTCCTGCAGTTTTGTACATCTGTTCATAACTGACCTGTAAAGAACCAATCTCATTGATCATTTAAAAAGTGAATGTTTGTAATCATTAATGCTTAAACATAGTCCTAAGAGCTATAATGCCATCTGACTTTCTCCAAATCATTGTTCAACTTAGAGGACAAGGCGACAGCTCATGCATAATAATTCTTGAATATGGGGGCAGACAGGCCGTTAGCAACTGTCAATGTATTAGTTTTGTTTTTAAATTGTAAATCCTGCTTTACTAGCAAAACATGAAAAGGCTTGTTTTTTTGTCAATTTTATTCTCAGCTTGTGACCGGCCAAAAGTTGTCATTTTTATGACGTGGGAGTCCACCAGTTGTAAGGCTTGTAAGGCTTCTTTTAATCAGGGATTTGTGAAGGGAGAGAATATGGTAATTGCCTAATTGGTTTTATTAAAATAAAACCAATTATGGAGCAGCAGTCAGTCCATGCAATTTTGGACGCGATTTTCACTATGGGTCATCGGGAAACAATCTCTCTGTGCTTTAGTACAGGGGTAAGACTGTGTACATCCGACCCCCCCTTACCCCACAGTAGGTGGGAGTCTTTGCGGCAATGGGGTAAATGAAAATGAATGAAAATGAACGTGACAACCAAAAAAAGAAGTGAAATCCCAAGATTGACAAGGCCATAGTGTATGTAGACTATGTACCCCAGTCCATGGACCATGGCCATAGTGTTTGGATATTGCCATAAAATTCTTTGTTTTTACATGTAAAATAATACACCTCAAACTTATACTTGTAAGTTGTATTACCCCATCGGTCTATTATTCTTGATCTTGAAATGCAAAATCAGTAATAACAGCACTGCAATCAAGACTAGCTAAGAAGTTCCCAATTTCAACTTTTTTTGCAGTGATTTATTACTGATTTTGCACTTCAAAGGGTAAGAAGAGTAGGTCAATAGGGTATTACAAGTGATGTATTTTACGTATGTTTGCATTTTAGAACTTAAACTTTTGAATATTAAAAAAATTATATCGTACGATTTTTTCATATGATGTTTTTAATTTCTCTTTTAACATGATTTTTGCGTAGTAATCAAGTGTTCTTTGGTCTTCTAAATGCTAAAGATGCTCTTACTTTGACTCTTGCATCAGTTTCATGAGAATTAAAAATTAAAAAATAGAAATGAAAAAGGTTTTAAATGAACAGTAATACTTTTAGTGTACTAAGTCATAAAGATGATAAAGTTAATAAATAACGAATCAAAGAACTCTATTTCTAAATATACGAAATAATAATGCTTTTTTTAATGTTGATGTACGGACCCGACATAATTCTAGTAACATACATTAGAGTTTAGACAACCACACATAATTATACACGCAAACAAATTAAAACAGATGTTTGAACATATAGAAGCAGTCAATACGAAATAATTCCACAAGTAAAACTACTTGGAGTTGTGAAATAATGGGAAAATGTTACCCCAATAGGAGCCCAACAAATATATTTATAATAGAAAAGGAGTTGTCAAAATACATCAGGATTCCTAATTAATATGTAGTCTAAACTATTACACCCTTCAAGCTGTGCGGGAGATACAACGCGCATGTTGTCTTTTAAAAAATGAAACTGCTGACTAGATAAACTCTTAGTAAATATATCTGAGAGCTGGAGATGTGTAGGGACATATTTGACTACAAGATTACCTTGAGCTACTCTCTCACGAACAAAATGATAATCAATGTGAGTATGCTTGCTGTGAGCATGCTGAACTGGATTTATCACAGAAGAGCTGAACAGGAGCCTGAATGCAAACCCGATCAGATCTGTAAGGTGTCCTGCACTGTATAAGCCATAGCTCAATATTCTGCCTCCACAGACAACTTAGAGACAGTAGGCTACTTCTTGGACTTCCAGGAGACAAGATTTGGACCCAAGAAAATAGCAAAACCTGTAGTAGAACGAGAGCTAACCGGATAGCCTGCCCAATCAACATCAGAGTAAGCCAAATTATATGTGGGCCGTGCAGAAGTCTGAAGCCATAAGCCACGATCAATAGTGCCCTGTAAATAGCGAAATATGTGCTTGACAGCAAACATGTGAGTAGTACGAGGGACATGCATGAACTGAGACACTAAATGAACTGCATAAGTAATATCTGGTCTATACTTAGTAGCATCAGCTAGGAGTTCGCCATCTCTGAGGGAGAGAGTAGTACAAGTAGCAACCAGTGTACGAATAGACTGGAGAGTGTGTAAATAAAACCGAAGAAGAAGATGAGACACATACTTTTGCTGAGATAGAGAAACTGACGAGCATTTTATCACGGTGCGTCAAAATAAATTCAATACTAAACACTTATACGTAGTATAGCGTAGTAGAGTTCGTATCCACAGGGAAAGGAATAATTCTCTTTTTATGATACTTAGTAACTAAAAAGGGGGGATTTGGATTGAGTGATTTGATTGAATTAAGAACTAAGATGAACAACCTATATGTGTTTAATTCAAAGATAAAAAGGACTTGGCATTGATACTTTCCACTTGTTGATATATTTTAGTCGATCATTGTTATATCTATAACTTATTCCCTCTCGAATACTCAATCGGGGAGTATATCCACTTCATCGAGGGTAGTTATTAACAACAACCGCTCATTAATAACCCTTACTATTAATCAAATATAGAACAACGCCTTATACCGATTTAATAGTAACATTTAATCTTTCTAACTCCTTGATGATATCAATTGAGATTGATAACCTCAACACAAGCGGTTTCGGTTTAACCAACAAAATTAATACCTCTTAAGTTTATTAACCACGACCGTGCATTAATAAACCGAAGTTACTTACTTGTGAAACCATCAACGATTAACCATCGGTTCGTTGATCGTTTCTAGTAATAATTAATATATGAAACAAAACTAGTTGATCCTTTAAGTAATGTTCAAAATATTAATATGAAATATGAGTAGGGATTAATTAATATTCAAGGAAGAATATTATTAAAGAAGATGAATCCTACTATAATTAATATCAAGATGTTAACTAATTGTCATCTTAGCAACACTCCCCAATATTCATATAGAGGAAGAAAATACCATTCTAACTAATGTCGAGATGTTAACTAATTGTCATCTTAGCAACACTCCCCAACATTAATATAGAGATGGTATTAAGGAAAGAACTATTAATTAATATTCAAGGAAAGAAGTTAAGAAAATAACTCACAACTTTAATAATCAACAAGCTTCAAGAGCAACACCAAGAATGGAAGTTTAGCTCCTCATTTGGAGACTAAACATAGCTAGAAAAATATAAAGAAATGCTATTCTAAACTGAGCTAAAGAGTATGGAAGAAGGGATAATTTTTTGTGAAGAAAAAGTGTGCTATTTATAGGTGTTTTTCAACACCTTTGGCCGGGTACCCGACCGGGTATAGGTACATACCCGACCGGGTACCGGTCAAGATCAGATAATCTCCCACGTTTCATTGTTCCAGCACGTTAATTTGTCCCGGGTCAAGTCAGACCCGACCGGGTCAAGTGAGGGACCCGACCGGGTTTGGTCTAAATCAGATTTTTTTTCCAAATCTTTGTGATCTTCAGCATGTTCTGGTGTTCCGGGTCATATCTGACCCGACCGGGTCGGGTAAGGGACCCGACCGGGTCTTACTTTTTCTTCTTAGATCTGTTCTTCAACTGACCCGACCGGGTTCAAGGTCTGACCCTGTCGGGTTTTTGTGCTCCTGGGTCTTTTTGTCTTCAGTTTTTCTCCCCTTTTCCTTGCTACAAACTCTATCACAATTCTATAACTACGAAAAGAAGGAGAAAGCAATTACAAACAAAATAAAACAAGTACTTACAAACTAACTAAAAGCGATGGAAAATCCACACCCAATCAACATAAAAACATACATTTATGCACTACAAACTAGTGCATATCAGAAACTCCTTTAGAGTTTCGAACAACTTGGACCCCAAAGAAATAATGGAGATCACCCAGATCCTTCATGGCAAAATGAGACGCAATGCGACTAATAAAGGAAGACACAAGAGATGGAGAATTACCAGTAATAATAATATCATCCACGTATAACAACAAATATATAACAAACTGGCCTTGACGATAAATAAATAAGGAATTATCAGACTTACTACATAGAAAATTATGAGTAAGAAGAAAGCTAGTGAAACGGTGAAACCAAGCCCACGGGACCTGCTTAAGACCATAAATGGATTTTCACAGACGACACACATGATGAGGAAACTGAGGATGAATAAAACCCTACGGTTGACACATGTAAACCTCTTCAGTAAGATGACCAAAAGGAATGCATTTTTTACATCCAACTGACACATAACCCACCCAAAAGAACTCGCAAGAGAAGAACAATATGAACCGTGGTGAGTTTAACCACCGGACTAAAGGTTTCAGAAAAATCTACCCCAACTTGCTGATTAAACCCTTGAGCAACAAAACGCGCTTTATGATGCTCAATAGATCCATCAGAGTGAAATTTAGTTTTATAAATCCACTTAGACCCAACCATAATTTTAGAGCTATCAAATGGAACTAAATCTCAAGTATTATTAGAAATAAGTGCATTGAATTCATCTTCCATAGCCTCACGTCAAATTCAATGTTTATGTGCCTCAGAAAAACAAATCGGATCTATGGAGCTAACAACTGTGTTTAACATAAAAATAGATTTAGGCTTAAAAATACCGGACATAGCCCAGGTTTGCATAGGATGAACATTTATTCAGGGAGCTTGTGGACAGGAGGAAGGGGAAGGCGAAGGCACGGTCGGGCTGGATGAGGCATCTAGCGATGCCAGGGCGGGGTGGATAGATGCAAGTGGTGGACTGGAGGGAGGTGGGGCAGATGATCTGGATCGGCAGTAGGTGGGAGGAGAGGTCGGGCCAACTGGAGGAGAGGAAAAATCGTGCGGCATGATCGTAGGAGAGGAGGACGGACTGGGTCGGGGAGTGGCATCTCGGGGGGAGTGGTGCACGGTAGGGGGGGTGATGTCCTAAGGGTATTAGTTAGTAATAAATCAGAATCATAAGAAGGGAAATATGACTCGGGTGAGGAAGAACTAAATTTTTGAAAAAGAAAATTAT